TGATGAAAGCATGTATATGAGCAGAGAAATCCGTAAGAGTTGCACCTTCGTTTAAAAAAAGGTTTTTTGATATTCGATAGTGAAAATTGTAACAAAACACAACTGAAATGTGGAGAAGAGGGTAAACGTGCATCTACTATGGATGATAACAAGAGATGAGAAATAAGAGGATAACCAGAGAATGAGTCAAATGGGAGAAAATAAAGCACTAGAGAACTTTCAAAACTTCCCTATTTGACTAACACCAAAAACGTGGTAGATACAGTGCAGTATGCAAAAATAAGTTGGAAATGATTTGATATGTAGTATCAAACCGACATTCCTGTATGTAAGAAAAGAAAAGAAAAACAAATCAGAGCGAAACTTATGAATGACTCCAAGCTAATACATAATCTGAAAAAAAAACTAACGTTGCTGTCCCCTTTACGTGGAGCGCTCAGCTTCTTGGGGAAGAGGATCAACTTGGATTTGTATTCCTTCAGGCGTTCAACATTAGCCTGAAAAGTGATGTTTCACAATACTTGTGAAAAAATACCACGGTAGAAGTATCATTTACTACAAAAGCATTCCTGTCATTTACTGCAACTGTAGAAGCATTCCTATCACAAACAGTAAGAGTGCTGCTTGCGTCAAACTAGTTCAGACGATTTAGCGTGATTTTGAGGATATCCAAAGCAGAAAGGCTCAGAATAGCTGGAATCACGCAGAAAGCGATTGAAACTCTAACTTGCTCACCTTTAGCCCTTCAAGAGACCTGTTAGTCCTTCTGTAGTCAACAGCGATGCCGATAGTTCTGGCTTCGCGCTTTCCGATACCTACAGCCTTCAGCTCCTCAAGAGTGAATCCACGGCCAAGTCTGACCTTACGATTGAAGCGTTGGGTTGGGCAACGAACAACAGACCTAATAATAAAGAAGTTTACGTGGTGAAGTGAAAAGGTACATAACAAGTCAAGCATATGGAAAAAAGAAAATCCCACAAAAATTCCTAAAGCAAATGAAATTTTCAACATAATAATGTATGGGAGATGTTAGTACAACAGAAGAGGAACGGATCTAAGAAATGACCTACCTGAGCAGACCAGCAACTGGACGTGGAGAAATAGCAAGAGCTTTCTTCTGA